TGTTTTGTTATTTTTCCATAGGTGGAGATGAATCCCTTCCTTATTTTCTACTCGTTGAAATTAATTCCTAAATAATCTTTTTCAAACATGATTAAATACTTTTTCATAATTTGTGAGGTCATGTCACTGCTTTTAATTATCAAACTACTCCATCAAATCCATCACCTATGTCCTTAAACACTTTTCTCATAATTCTAGCTGAAAATGCCCATTAGTGATGGTATAGAGTAGTAACTACTGGTCAAGAATATAATATTTGAATATATCGACACATCATTATGTTACTTTTCAATCATAGAAAAGTATTGTTTTAAGAGCTCTTACATCAAACAAGCAGAATTATTTTTTAAAAAAAAATTAGGAAATTAACATCTTCAAGATTTAAATATAAGGCTCCAGGAAGTCTAGGTATTTCAAGTCTGTAGATTGGTATTCTAAATTATCTTTTTAGATATTTATAGAAAGACATTTGGCTAGCTTTCATTTTACTTGGAATAAAAGCCATAAACTGGGTTGGAGATATCCTTTATAAAACCAAGTTATGTAAGCAAATATAAAAGTTCGAAAGACTTATCTATGCTTTGAATCAGTTGTCACATTATTATTCTACTACCCATAGCAAGTGATAAAAGTTAGAAATATTTTTTAATTACTAAACTATTGATAAATTTTCATATTATTTTTTATGATAACTATAGAATTTCTGGGAAATCTAAGATACAAAGAAAAACATTTTACTCTTCTCCTCTTACTTTTCATATGTTTTTTCTGTAAGACTTTTATAGAATTTGTCCCTTTCAAATGTCTTTTTGTCCCATCTAACTCCTTTAGTAGCTGACAAGTCATCAAGTCATGAAACAATGTTTTGACCTCCTTCTACAAAGCAATAAGCAATTTTTTAAAAAAAGTATAAAAGTATAACTCCCCTTAATGAGTTTAAAAAGTAGTTGAATAAACTAAAAATAAATACGACTATATTTAATGATATTATATGGCACACATGACTATCACAATGAGAGATACAGAAGTATTGAATTTGGAAGTTTTTTGGAATGAAAGACTGGTACAAGAAAGTAATAATTGTACAATAAGGTTGGGAATATTAAGAATGAGAGGCTAAGGGAGAGAAAAAAATGGCATAGATGATAGAGGCTTTGTTCATCCCTCTGGCGACCAAATCAAAGTTGTGACAGAAACAAGGAGCAGTAGTAATGAAAAATTGCCTGAGATCTAGATGAACAAGCCATACAACTATGGAGAAATCCACAAAAGCACCCTGCAACGGTAGAAGGTAGGACGGGGCGAGAATGTGGGGCTGCCCAGTCTGAGCGGCTAAGTGAGACAGAGGCTACGGCAGTGGCAGTGGCAGTGGCAGTGGCAGATGCCTCTTAAAAGGGCCGTGTCCGCGAGCGGATTTTTGTGGTGATGGACCTGCTCGCTCTGAGCACCAGTGCCCGTTAGGCTGTGCGGAGGAAGAACCAAGTACTTACAGGGAGATATTTTCCGAGTGAAGGCCGAGGCGAGACTCACTTGGTACAGAAGTGCTGGCAGTATTCATTGCTCCTTGTTGAGCCCTCCCCGCTCCCAGTTTGCAGACACGGGGTCCCCATAGCTGTAACATCATCAAACTGTATAACAGCGATCACTCTGTCCAGAGGATTCCCTGAAACCCTGCCTTCCCAACTCACAGCCCCACCCAAGCCACATCCAGGTATATCCTCAGCGAATCAGGTGCTCCTTACTGAGACTCGCACTGGAGGCAGCCTCAGTTTAGGTGTGGCCTTTTGAGGCAACTATAAGCACAGCATCTGTGGACTGCTTGCTGAATCTTAACAGGTGTCCCCAGAAGGGTAGAGGCTTGGGCTAAATTTGGCCTGCAGCAGAACCCCTCTCAGGATCATGCCACTGGACACCTACTTCACAAATCCACACTAATAAGACCGAGAGACTTAGGAGCTTTGCTTAGTACATAGAAATAGATACAGAAAGGCAGCCAAAATGGGAAGCCAAAGAAGCAGAAACCATAAAACAGAACAGAGGTCCAGATATAATGGAGTCAAGTAATCTAACAGGTGCAGAGTTCAAAACACAGGTTATAAAGATGCTCAATGAACTTTAGGGAAGTATAGATAAATTCAGTGAGAACTTCAACAAAGAGATTAAAAAGAAAACATAAAAATGGAAGTAGAAATTATAAAAGGGATCCAGTCTGAAGTGAAGAACACATTATCTGAGATGAAAAGTATATTAAATGGAATAAACAAAGGAATAAAGTGAATAAAGAAGATGATTACATGCCCTATCTAGAAGACAGGGAAGCCAATCAGGACATTCAATCAGAATGGCAAGAAAAAAGATGCCAAGACTATAAAAATATAAAAAGGATATGGGATACTATTAAGGCTCCAAATACTCATCTGATTGGCGTAACAGAGGAAAATCAAGATGTTGAACAGCTGTTTGAAGAAATAATGATGGAAAACTTTCCTAACCTGGTGAAGGAAATGGACATAAAACCCCAGAAAGTTCAGAGAATTCCAAAAATCAGGGATCCAAAGAGGCCCACACCAAGACCTCTAATTTAATCATAATTAAAATGCTAAAGGTTAAATACAAAGAAAGAATATTAAAAGCAGCAAGTTACCTACAAGGGAGCACCCATAAGACTGGCAGCTG